CATAGTTGCCAGACACATCTTCGAGCATGGGGTTCCATCCAGCAAGATCAGAGATTTGAAGGACCAGCACAGGATCTGGGCAAAGATAATCTTGGGTTGTTTCAACCATAGGAAGCCCACAAGCTCTCCAGACTATATCAACATAGATCAGCAGTTTCTGCTGTACTTCATTGCAAAGAAGACCAAGATCAACCTTGCTCAGATTTTGTTCAATTATCTGAAGACCAGCGTCAAGGAGACAAGAGAAGATGAGAAGACTAAAAGGGATTGGATACCCTTTGGGAGATTAATATCATATATTCTAACTGAGAATAGGCTGATAGAACATCTGACAGAGGTACATGAGATAAGCACTCTGGAACCAGCAGTTGGCAAGCAGCTGAACGCCAAGAATCTGAAGAAGATGAAACTAATAGAGAATATCAGAAAGGAGCCCAGAGTCACTCCTCTTGCTGAAATCACCAGCAAAAGAGTCCCTCTGAGTGACTTTCCAATATTTTCTGAGATTGACTCCAAGCTAGTCACAATTCTCAGATACTTGGAAGCATGTAAAGCTGACGGGACAGATCCTGGTCTGAACCTTCAAGAGATGCACCAGCCAACACCAGAGGTTGTTTTGAAGAAGAAGAAGAAGAGAAAGGCTGCTTCAGAAGGACCATCCCAGCAAGCACCAAAGAAGAGAGGTAATATATCTTATGTACATGTTTTAAATTCAAATTCATCTGCTGAACCAACACTGATTCCAACCCCAACTTCATATGAACTCCCCATACCAACCATTGATGATACTGAACCAGAAGTTGACCCTTCTGAGTCTCTCACTCTCAGAAGATCCCGCACCAAACCCCTAAATCCAAAACCCACAACATCAACAGAATCAGAACTTGACAAAATTCTTTCTGAAATTGATCAACGTTCTTCTGCTCCCAACTCTGAAAATCCAAACACTCAACCAGAAAATCCCCCATCACCACAACCAGAAACTCCCCAATCACCACAATCAGAAACACCCCACTCTCCTCAACCAGCATATACTCTATCACCCATACCAGAAGAACCTCAACCAGAACCAGAAATTCCCCCACCTCCATCTCCACAACCAGACCTTAATCCACCCTCACCTCAACCACCATCCCCTCACTCTGAGCCTCAACACTCTGAGCCTCAAAACTCTGAGCCTCAACACTCTGAGCCTCATCACTCTGAACCTCCATCCCCTGAACATCATTCACCTGAACCTTCTGAACCACGACCCCTAGCAGTTCAATTTCCCAGTGGCATCACTGTCACTATGCCTCAGCTGTCGTCCTCTCCAGAAACTACCCCCCTAATACTCCACATAGTCCAATAATCATTTCTGATTCTCCCACTCCCTCTCCCAAACAAACTAAAGAAGACCACAGCAAAACCTTCATCGATCTCACAGTCCTTGACCGTTTAGCTGCCATCATAAATAAAACAGCCATTCCCAAATCAAAACTTCCAGATGTTGGTTCCAGCATCTTAAATTTTGAAACAAACATGCAGAATTGGATTGCTTCTCTAAAGCAGGTTTGTCCGGGAATGATCGATCCTATTGCTTCAGACCAACTCTGGACTCATTTCAGAAAATGGGTTCGCGCTGAGACCTTCAAGCTGCAAGACCTGAACTATGAGCAGGCTCAACAGAACTTCAGCAAGCTGCTGAAAGAAGTTGAAGGTCCTGTCTTAAGTCAGCTGCAGAAGGAGAAAGTGCTCCATCTGGACAGTGAGCCATGGTCTGAAAAGCGTCCAGCAGTTCAACCAACAGAAGAACAGAAGACATCAGAAGATTTGGATCAAGCTGAAGATGTTGCTGAAAGCTCTCAGAGGCATCTTGACTCTGACATCTCTCAAGCTGCTTTGGACAGGCAGACTCTTGAAGAGCTGAAGCAGAATGATCTTCGTCTGCAAGCAAGAATGGATGAGAGTGATCATAGGATGAAGGAAAGGATGGCTGTTCAGGATAGCAAAATTGATGCAGTGGCCAGCGTTGTTAATCAGCAAAAGGAATCTACTGATCAGATTAAGAACATGCTTGAGGCTTTGCTCACACGCCTTCCTCCTGCTCCTTAGACTTTATTTCTTGCTGTTTTCAATTTTTTTTTGCATATCTTCTGTACTATTTTCTGGCTTTGAACTTAATGCAAGTGTTTTTCTGCACTGAGTATCTTAATTTCATTTTTTTCTCACTTAGTTCATTATTTGCACTTTTTGATTGCTGACAAAAAGGGGGAGAAAGACTGATATTTTTCAATAACGGCTTACTGAGACAAAAGTCTCAAACATTCTAACACTCTGATATACTTGAATGTTTTTGTGTTCTGCATAGCTTACAGGTACAAGAATCTGACGAACTCAAATACTCTGAAGCTCTGATGTTCAAAGAAAGGCAATGAAGATCTGATCCCAAAGAACTCATGGAATTAAAGGGAGGTAATAAATTCAGGGGGAGTATTTCCAATCTTAACTCTGATACCCTTCTATCCCTTATCTTCTTATCTGTGATAACTGCCTATTTAATTCTGATACAATTTATTTAGTTATCTCTGATACATGTCTCGTCAATTTTCAATTGAAAAAAATCTAGTTTTTGTCATCATCAAAAAGGGGGAGATTGTTAGAACAATGTTTGAATCTACTACCCTAAGTTAAAGTTTTGATGATAACAAAATACAAGATTATATAAATTGTATATTTCATGCAAGACATATATGCTGCCTAAAAATTATATTTTGTTTTACAGAAACTCTGATGAGTATCAGCATGAGAACATCATCATCAGCATCAGAAGATGATATATCAAAAATCAGCATCAGAAGATGTTATATCAGATATCAGAATCAGAAGATCAAAGCATGTGCTTACGCTGAAGCTTGATGAACAGATCTGCGCGTAACAATCTATACTCTGATCAAGACCACACGCTTTATTGGCAACGGCACTGTGCATTCAAGACCATTTATTTTCAACGGCATTATTCAAGACAAAGATCTTCTAAGTATGGAAAGAATGTTATTGGCATTGAAATGGAATAATTGCTCCAACGTACAAATTCCAATGCTATATAAACAAGCTAATAAGGAATAGATTGGCTAATGCTCTACAAATTTCTACACGCCTAAAGCAATCATAATCATCCTCATTCTCACAGTTTGCTAAAGCTCTCTAAATAATTATTCTATAGTTTTAGCATTCCAGTTTTCTTAAGCTTAATTTGTGTAGTATCACTGTTGTGATAAACTGTTTTGTAGAAACATTCATACACACTCTTTGTTCGTTATTTGTAAGAAAGATTTCCTTGAGAAACCAGATTGTGGTTTAGACTCAAGAAGGCTTTAGCAGTTGTTAAAACAGTTGTAATATTCAGTTGAATATAGTGGATTAAGACCTCGTTGGAGAGAGGCGAAATCACCTTGACGGGTGGACTGGAGTAGTTTGAGATCAAACGAACCAGGATAAAAATAACGTGTTGTCTGCAATTGTTTTTCAAGTTTTACAATTCAACCCCCCCTTCTTGTGTTTTTCACTCCTTCAAATCCCTACGTCAGATGACAATCCAAACAAACAGACAAATAAGATAACAAAGAAATAGTCTGCACATCTCATGAGATCAAGTCCGAGCGGACTAAAAATCTGTATCAAAACTACAATAAAACAAACAAAACATGGATCAATTAATTAAGAGTTGATTAACTTAATTAATTGAATTAAGAAAAATAGATTAGTAAACTAATCCATTTTAATTAATTAAATCAAGTAACTAAATAAACATCTAATTAATTGATCAAAGTGAAAAGATAAAGAAAGATGGAGGATGAAATAAAGAGAAAATCAATTAGTTAAACATTGATTAAATTAATTAACGAAGTTAAGAAAAATATATTAGTATACTAATCCATTTTAATTAACAAACACCAATTAATTAAAATAATATAGAACTAATGGATTAAAGTGAAAATAGAAATCGAAAGTAGAATAAAATTGTGAGAAGAAAAATTCTTGAGAACTCTTGTAAGCTTGCACAAATCAACAAACAAAGTTAGTAACACAAGAGAATTATAAACCAAATGAAACTTGCATGAATGACATGAACAAATGAACATTTCTCAATCAAAAACCAAGAATTCATGTTATTATTCAATTCAAACTTTAAACATGGAAAATCGATTTCAAAGCAAGCTATGGTCACACAAATCAAATTCGGACAGCAACTACGCGAACTTAATAATGGCTCCAAAGTCAATCTCAATTATGTTCAACATCAACGACAACCACAAAACGATGCCATAATCGAATTGAACTTCCAAAGTCAACACAAACGAAAACAAACACACCAATGAAACCTCTTTTCAAATTGATCCACGCATCATGGTAAACATTCACAAGAACAAACAATGACTTATGTCATGCTTACTTAAACGCTTTCAAGAATAATTCAACACAACAAAGTCACATTACTATTCGATTCAAATTCAAAACATAATACATTGAGTTCAAAACGAACTTTACTCAACCAAAGCAAATTCCGGGCAACTACTTCCTAAATCTAAACATGCTTAATGAAAACATCTCAAAACAAGTGTTCAAATCTAAATATGCTTAATAAAAACATCTCAAACTAGTGTTCAACGCAAATGGAAAGCATTGGTATCACAATTGAAATTTGTCATTTAAATCTACTCAAATTGTATTCAAACAATACAATAACATTGACTTCAATATCCAATTCTAACACAAATAGACACAATCCCAATGTCACAACTTTATCATCAATTTACACCAAGAGCAACAACAAAATTTTCATGAAGCATCAACATTAGGTGTAAACAAAACAATATCAACTCTTGCTTCTAATCCCTACACTATTAAACATCAAATCCAAAAAATCACATGCATTAACTTGAGTTCAAACATATAACAGTGAAATTGTATTATGAAATAAACAAAAGTAACTTGAGAAACAAAAATACCGGCAAAAATTATGAAGCGGTGATGATGAGATGCAGAACAGAGAAACGCTTCATTGAAGACAAAGCAATTTGAAGCTTTTGAATCAAGACAGTCATAGGCGTTACATCCTCACTGTCAATAGTGGCAGGCAGTGCAACAGTAATAAATAAATCTTGCAAGAGAAATTTCAGATGTTGAGCCAAGACTTGATGAGTAATCGGATGCCTTCCAATCTCGCACACCGACGAAGTACCGAAGATGGAATCAACACAGTGGCTGGTATGATGTTGAATCGGATTGATTTCGGAGATGACGAACTGTAACTGACCGAGTACGATGTAACAGCGGTAAACGAGAGAAGCAAGGTGGAACGGTTGCATCAGTGAGTATTGATGATGAGGTTTGTTGGAACTGTGTTGTGATACGATGGTGCGGATGGAGGCGGAAAGGATGACAGAGATCTGTTACGGTGTTGATGGAGAGCGAAGGCGGTTGACGGAAAAGGGCGTTGCGGTGATGAGCGGATAACAGAAGCAAGTCGGCGGAGCTAGCTGATTGAATGATAAGCTGGGAATATGTTTAAGAGTGGCTGAAATCTGGATTTCGCGGAGGAAGGCAGATGTGCAGCAGTAGTCTCATGGTGGGAGTATACGAGGTGTGGTAGCGTAATCACGGTGACAGTAAGGTTGATGAAGCTAGCAAAGGGGGATAGCTTCAGTTACGGTTGTTGTTGTTGTGTTTCGGTACAAGCTGTGATGAGAGATGTCAATGAAGTATGAACAAAGAGTATATGTTTGGGTTTCGAAAGTTTTTGATTGTCAAAATGAGTTATTTATTTTATTCACGTCATCACTAAATTCCTAGTCTTATGGGTCCTTTATTTTTTAGGATTAGTTGCTTTTGAATTTCCTTGTAACTTGTTATAAAAAGTGGCTTTTTTGTTTTGCTTCCGTTTGTGTAAAAGGCTATAAAATGCCTAATGTTCATTTCAATAAGTAGATCGTTTAATTTCCATCTAATTTTAGATGTTATTTTATTTTAGTTTCAATATTTGGTATCTGAGCTCCGCAAGGGGCCTGATTGGGAGTGAAAAATTTGTGAGTCTACGGAAAAAATATTAGAAAAGTTCGTGCAATCAGTTATTCTAAAATTTTACGGTCATTATGATCATTGGTCAATGATGATGGAAAACTTTCTGAGAAGCAAAGGGATGTGGAGTCTTGTAGACGAAGGAATACCGACACCGACGATTGGAATCGAAGCAACGAGTGAAGCACAAAGAAAAAGCGTGGAGGAAACCAAGCTCAAGGATTTGAAGGTTAAGAATTTTTTATTTCAGACTATTGATAGAGAAATTCTGGAAACAATTCTTGACAAAGGGACATCGAAGGCAATCTGGGTGTCGATGCGACAAAAGTACCAAGGTTCCACAAAGGTAAAGAGGGCACAACTTCAGGCTCTGAGAAAGAGTTTAAGTTGCTTGCTATGAAAGAAGGAGAGGAGGTGGAAAATTTTCTAGGAAGAACCCTTAGTGTGATGAACAAGATGAAATCAAATGGTGAAAACATGGAGCAAAGCACGGTGGTCAGTAAGATACTTAGATCATTGACTTCTAAATTCAATTATGTTGTATGTTCGATAGAGGAGTCAAATGATTTAAGTATCTTAACCTTTGATGAACTCCATGAAAGTCTTCTTGTTCATGAACAAAGGATGCAGGAACATCAAGTGGAGGAACAAGTGTTGAAAGTTGCTCATGATGACAGATTTGGAAGAGGAAGAGCCTTCTTTAGAGGTGGAAGAGGAAGAGGACGTGAAAGACGGGCCCTAAAAAAATAATTATTGAATGCTTTAAGTGTCATAAGCTTGGACATTTTCAATATGAATGTCCAGAATGAGAGGAAAAGGCAAACTATGCAGAGATGGAAGAAGAAGAGGAAGTCTTGTTGATGTCACACATGGATCTGCACCAAACCGGGAAAGAGGAGGTCTGGTTCTTGGATTCAGGATGTAGCAACCACATGACAGGAAACAAAGTTTGGTTCTCTAATTTAGAAGAAGGTATTTGTCAAACTGTGAAATTGGGGAATGACATGACAATGGATGTGGTAGCAAAAGAAAATGTAAGAATGCAAGTTAATGGTGTCACTCAAGTAATCTCAGATGTATACTTTGTTCCTGAGCTTAAGAGTAAATCTGCTTAGCTTAGGACAACTTCAAGAAAAAGGGTTGGCAATATTTATTCAGAATGGAACATGCAAAGTATTTCACTCTAGGAAGGGTTTAATCATGCAAACTAATATGAGCAGAAATAAAATGTTTCATGTGTCAGCCACTGCAGTACCAAAGGAGACCATGTGCCTACAAACAAAGCTAGAGACAGATAAAGAAGCTCACTTGTGACACTGTAGGTTTGGGCACCTTAATCACAAGAGTCTCAATATACTATCACAAAAACACTTGGTTGCTGGCTTACCAAATCTGAAGATCCCAAAGAAGACATGCATCACCTGCTTGATTGGAAAACAACCCAGAAGATCAATCCCAAAGAAAAGCATGTGGAGAGCCTCAAGGAAACTACAACTCATACATGCCGACATATGCGGTCCTCTCAAGCCTTCTTCAAACAGCAACAAGAGGTATATTTTAAGCTTTATAGATGATTTCTCACGTAAAACTTGGGTTTATTTCTTACATGAGAAATCTGAAGCATTCTAAATCTTCAAAAACTACAAAATTAGCGTTGAAAAAGAAGTTGGTGAGTGCATTGCTTGCTTGAGAACAGATAGAGGTGGTGAATTCACTTCACATGAATTTGAAGAATTCTGCAAAACTCAAGGCATTAGAAGGAAATTAACAAAGGCTTATACTCCTGTTGGCTGAAGATTTTGATAATGTTATCTAGAATTCAAAAGAGTTAAAAGTTCTGATCGAAATGGAATTAAACACCATATTTCGAAGCTGCAGAAGCAGTGTTTCGAATGAGTGTGTTAAAGCTCGAAGCTTCGAACGATGATCATGGGAAAATATCCAAAGGGATCTCGAAACAACAGCGAGGCTAGTTTTGGGAAGAGCGTTCGAAACGGAAGAACACTAAAGCATTTAAAATTTAAATGGAAGCGGGACTTTCAAAGTTTGAAAGTTATGTGTTGGAGCATTTGAGGACACGTGGAAAGATGAAAGAAGCATTGTCTTGCATGTTCGAAACGTGGCATGATCCTATAGCGAGACCGTTAGGGTCGAATTAGTATAAATAGAAGTCTTAGTATTAGGATTTCGGTGTGTCATATCTGTTATACAAAATACTCAATAACATTCAAACTACCACATGGCAAGGGAAACGAATGCAAGAGAGATGTATGTATGATAGCACCATGTATTTTTAACTTAATGAAAGCCTTTTTACCATTTCCAGTACTTTCCTCTTTTCTTTTTATCGAATAACATTTACAAGTTTCTTTATTTACTGTCTTTTCATTTCAAAGTCTTTTCCTCAAAGTTTTACTCTTTATTGCTTTCTTTATATTTCGAGCACTTTATATTTCAGAGAACTGTTACGCTTTCAATACCTTTACTTACAAGTATTGTTTTTTCAAACGCATCCTTTTACTTAAAATTGCATTAAACGCTTTCTTCACATTTTAAACTTCTACGTTCCAGAAACCTTTTATGTTTTGCAAATCGAAACCATTTACTTCATTTTTCATACAGTTTTATATGTCTCTTCAATCAGCATTATAATTAGCATTTATTCGTATAACTTAGTTTTCATATACATTTTGACCACATTTTCAAACTCCTAGAGAGAGGGATCGAAATAAACCAAACACTTGTACAATAGCAACCATGAATAATTGTTCGATTGTGAGAGTAACTTTAATATCCAAGGAGTCCTAGGATCAATCTAGTCGATCCTGTGAGTTACCAGAGAGATTGAGTAGCGTTAATAAAGATTATTCGATAGTTTGGAAGACTAGCGGTTGTTTACCAGAAATCACTGGAAACAAATTGGCACGCCCAGTGGGACCAATAGTTGGATATCAGAATTAAGGATTGTCGAGACATAGCCATCCCAAAAACGTAGGAACCTAAGAAGTTTGCTGTTTTATGAACCTAAGAAGTGGTAAGATAACCAACAACAACCAACCTTTATCCAGAAGAAAACGTTTGGACAAAATGTCTAATTCAGACAATCAACAAGGAAACCAAGGTGACCCACATGCAACAGGCACTAACGCGTCCATTTCGAGCGGAACATCTAATGTAATCCCTTCGAATGCACAGTCTGTTGCATCTTCAACCAGTAACATAGCCACCACTGGAGTAAGTGGCATATCAACTAACAGTTCGATCTTAGGAAATACTGGAACTATGGGCTACCCTGGGGGATTCGTTCCACCACCAGGAACACAATCCCATTTAGCCACACCATTAACTAGACCACCCGGCTTCGATGGGAATAGAATTAGAAGTTCTTCTTACGGAATGCCAACATCTTTTATGGCAGGTTTACACAATTCCACTTCGAATTCATCCCCACAACTAGGATCTGGGTCTGGGGCGAACCAATTTATGACAAGTAACCAAGGGTCAGTGGGTTATAGCACGTTGCCTATCCTAACCACAGATAACCAGTTGGCTTTTAGGCAATTGATGGATGACAGCAACCACAATATGATAGGGGTGTTAGCGCAAACCATGCAGGAAATATTTGCCCCAATAGTTCAAAATGTGACTGTGACGAACAGGGAAAACGCTGACAATATGAGTCGAATAGCAGACTTCTTTGCTCCCACAGAAAGGCGTAGGCAGAACCAGGCGGGATTTCGAACAAACATGCCTGTTATAGAACAAATTGCTAACGACCCAATTCATAGACTACCCAGAGAAGAAGCTAACTTAGGGGCCAGAGCACCAAGGTTAGAAGCCCCAGTAATTCAAGGCCCACAAAGGGAAGTTATGGAACCAGGGGCAAGGATCGAAAGGCCAGAAGCCCCAGAATTTCGAGAAGAACAACCTAAGGGAGTTGTTTTGGTTGGTCGAAATCAAGATGCCGATGCCGTCGTTCATAGGATTCGAAACGATAACATCTTGGCAGAAAATAACCTAACCACCATGATAGAGAGGATCATGGCCCAGAATGGCCTCAATACGGGAATGAGGAGGCCAAATTACGCTTCTCCTATATTAGATTGTATAATGCATACTGATTTACCAAGGGGATACAAAGTCCCTAAATTTACAAAGTTCGTTGGGGATACCAACGAGTCAACAGTCGAACACATAGCGAGATATTTAACTGAAGCAGGAGATATAGCCAATAATGAAGATCTTAGGATCAAATACTTCCCAAGTTCTTTGACAAAAAATGCCTTCACTT